TTCCCGGGGGAGGAATGTTGACCCCACCACCTAGATTTGATTCCAGATCTGCATGAAGCAGTGGCATAAAAGGCGGGGGCCAGGGGGGCAGACTGCCCCCCCCCCCGACGGTTTTTACCGGGCTGACCAAGCCGTCGTACCGGGCTGACCAAGCCGTCGTACCGGGCTGGGTAAGAAGAGAAAAGAAAGAGGAGAGAGGGAGGGAAAGAGAAAGAAGAGGAAAGAAAAAGAAAGGAAAAAGGAAAAGAAAAAGAGAAGAGAAAAATAAAGATCTTATAAACACAAGATAGCGTTCTCCGCGATTTAAGCGTAACAAATAGAAGCGTCGGTCAAGGTTCAAAAGTTTCCAATTTAGCAAGAGGGCGTCATTCATGCGCTATTATACCAAAGAGAAAAAGTAATCAGTTTTGGGAGAGGGCGTCCTATCTGTTGCCATGGATTTGAGATGGTTCCTGTTCGCGATTTTTTTTTCCGTACGAAACATTTACATGGAACTCCACTCGGGCCGTCTCGACTGCAATCGACCCGAAAATCTTATATTGCCGAATTAAGGAGGTCAAAAGGTCATCAATAGATAAACGTCTACAAAACAACTTCTGAGAGAACGTCGCTGTCTAATTTTTAAAAATACATTGATGTTATCATGCTAATACTAATGACATAAAATGACAAGATGTGTATAAGAGACAGTATATATATATATATATGTATATATATAGGCCTATATCTATCTCAGGGGAACGAAGAGCGTAATAAAATAGGCTTTTTAGTTGATTTACATTTTTCGTGGCCAAATATATAATTATATTTTTATTCGAAATTACCATTTTTAAAAACAATTAAAACAAAAGAAAAGATTACCATTAATTAAAATACGTCGGGTCTTCAGTCTTCGTTGATTAAAATGTGACAAATTAATGATAAAAGAAAAAAATTCTAATTCATTCCAATAATTTACGCGAGCACGGAATTTACGCGAGCACGCACGCGTGCAAATATTCGATTATATATGAATTCAAATACGCTGTCCATACTAAGTGATGTAAATCATAAATATAATTGTAAACGCAATTAAGTGTGTGAAATTAATATGCAATGTATGTAACACATATACTTTGCATGTGTTCATCGGGAAGATTATGACACAAAATGGACGGTGTGTACCACGTGACTTTCGCAAACCAAGGAGTGGAATGTCGCAACTCTTTATATGGCTCTGTGTGCGTGAAGCCAGCGTGAAACCAGCGTGAAGCCAGAGCCATAGATAGATAGAAAGAGTTGCAACATTAAGAGTTTAGAAGCCATTCGGTGTCTATGGCGATGCGCGTTCCTGTGTATAATATCGTGTAATAAATAGCTGCCTACTGTAGTTAATTTAATTTAAATTATAGGCCTATATAAAGCAATTCTTTGTAGATAGATAAGAATCCCTCGATGGCAAGTATTCTTCACTTAGGAAATCCTGCCGTATAGACCCTTAGTGGTTCCTATTATTTTGGCAAAATAATTTTTCTACATAACAATATATTTTTATACTATATTATAAAGAAAAACTATTAAAAATTTCTTAGGGGTTTTCTGCTATTTTTAAAAACTTTTTCTATGAAATGTACAGTTTTTGCTGTTTTCTCATGCTTTGTGTATTTTTTTGTAACTTGTATTTATTTGTGATAAGGACTTTCCTGGAAATCAGCTTCGCTGAGTGGGACAGCCTCTTGAAATTTTAATAATAGAAAGAAGAAAGAAAGACATATGACGACCAGCAAAAAATTTATTAAAATGCCTGTCAGATAAGTCTATTTATATAGTAAATACACAGAATGTAATTATTTAAAGTTTTCTAAACCTTTTTTGTCTCCGTCCACGAACCTTTTCTTAATTATTATCCCATTTTGTTCTGCGTTGTTAATGTTATTTAATTTGAGTGGGAAAAAAACGATACTAAAACAAATAAATATTCTAGTATTTTTCCTTGAATTTTACAGGCTTACAAGGAGAAACGACGAGATCATAATCAAATAAAAAAGGCCTATATTTTTATCGACATTGTCATTTTAACTTAGATGACAACTAGGGACAAAATGTGCGAGCCATGTTTATTACAAAATAACAAGAGTACATTGATAAGTCATCTGCATTTATTCAAACAACCATAAATTGTGATTGCTCTAACGCTTACTGCTGTTTTTTTTTTATCTCTTTTAGATTTCGCAAGTAAAGAGCCAAATAATGAAAATTTTAAAGAACATTGTATTGAATACTATCCTTCAGGGAAATGGAATGACCAGTATTGCAATAGAACACGTCTGTACCTGTGCGAAAAATGTATGTGAACCTATTACTACCGTTGCGCACATGTTCAGAAAAATTAAATGAGTTCAATAATTTTCTTAGCTCTGAAATTTATGGTATGAGGTATCATTTCATAATATATAATCTTAAATTATAGTGATGATCAAAATCTGAAATTGCAAAAGCATTTAATTGACCCTTTGGAAGGAAGAATATACAGTAAACTGTACATTATTAAAATTATAAAGAAATACAGAAACAAAGCGTACAAAAATAATAGAAAGAGACTGCTGTAAAGATGTATTTTTTAAGTGTAATTAATGGTCTAATTTATGAATTACCTCGTGTTGAAGGGCCCTAGGAGATAAAAAGTAAATTTATTTTTCACTTTCGGGCAATCTTGCAACATGGCAGCGAATTTTACCTCTGCCAAAGTATATTCACCCCTGTCTGTCTGTAAGATTACGCAAAAAACCTAATAATAGATCATCATAAAATTTAGAGGAATGGTACATAATAAGTAAAAAGAAATTATAAAGAAATACAGAAACAAACATACAAAAATACTATAAAAAGACTGCTGTAAAAATTTATTTTTCAAGTGTAATTGATGGTCCAATTTATGAATCACCTCGTGTTGAAAGGCCTTAAGAGATACAAAGTAAATTTATTTCTACTTTCAGGCAATCCTGCAACATGGCAGCGAATATTCGCTGTATAAATTCATTATTATTATTATTATTGTTGTTGTTGTTGTTATTATTATTATTATTTGATCTGTTTGTTTTATTCACCTGCTATTTTAGCATAATAGGCCTAAATTAAATAAAGGAGAACAATAATCTGTTAATGAAACTAACAATAGTGAAAAATATGTTATCCATGAGGAGAATGCTGGAATCAATACCAAGCAGAAAAATTTCTTTTTTCCTTTTTCAGATCAAGATAAAATGCCACCCTCACACGGATCATCTTGTCCGGATGACATGCACGTACTGTTGTCATCGACTACACGATCAGCCGCTGTGTGTTGGATACCTCCGACGTGGAATGATGATTCTTTGTGTCATCCAAACGTAATTAACTCGCATTCTCCTGGTCACGTGATAGAAATACCGGACGGTGATTTAAGTGCATTCATCAATGTGACGTATACAGCTACCGATAAGTCTGGAAATTCTGAAACGTGTTACTTCCGAGTAACTGCATCAGGTTAGATTTGTTTTTCATTTTTCTGTACGTCAAATTTTAGCCTGATATGTCCGTACGTATTTTGTGCTAAAATTTATTAAAATAATAATACTACTATAACAGGTCGATATTAATTGGTTTATTTATTTATGACCTCAATCAAATTCTTCCTTAAAATATCCAAGTTAGATTAAAATATGCAAACTGTGAGTAAAAATATAGGTTGTTATATCTTCACCGCTGGCTGCAGAGAATTCTTTCTTTTTCAAATTTCTCTAAGCAAAATAACAATATTAATATGAATAATAATATGAACAGTATGAAATTGAGCAAAATAATAATAATAATAATAGTAATAGTAATATTAATAATAGTAATAGTAATAGTAATAATAATAATAATAATAATAACAATAACAATAACAATAACAATAACAATAACAGTAACAATAACAATAACAATAACAATAACAATAATAATAATAATAATAATAATAATAGCAGCAGCAGTAGTAGTAGTATAGTAGTAGTAGTAACACGAGTACTCAGTATAGAGCATATCTTCGTCCACTGCAAATCCCTTTCAATAAAATAAATCTCCCAAAATATGTTCCTAAACTTTAACCACCACCACTTTCACCCCCACCTTACTTCGCTACACTCCCCTTGAAATACGCACAGTAACTCGCCCAAACACTTTTCATTTCAAAGAGGGGCACTATTTCCATTTTTAGCATAAGTTTTTGGGGACTCTTTTTAAGAGTGGCCATTTTCAGATTTTGTAATCCGAATGATCTCACCAAAATTCAATGTCGGCCTAGTTTTCACTACACATGTTACGTTTTGAACACAGAGTCCAAGCAACATATAGTATTGAAACATTTTATTTTCAACTACTGAAATTGTAAAAAATATGTGACAACCCACATACTTTCCAACCACCACCTATTTAAAAAAAATTCACTAACCGGCCAACCGTAAATGCCACTATTTATTAGTTGTATACTTGTCAATTCCTTACTTGTGCTGGTTAAATACGCAGGAACATTTTACTTTTATAGTTGACAAAAAGACAATACATGCCAAGTATTGGTGTTGAAATGGAAATATTATGCAAATAGTCAACGGTTCATAGCTTCACATGTTTAAATATAAAGATGCATTAAAAATATTCCCACTCAGTTTCCAAACTGAAGTTTGTACATATAAAACTCAGTAAACATTTACTGTAATTTCACTAATTTGAATAATCTTCATACTTTGAGTTATTTATTTTTATTTGAATATTATTTAATGAGGAAAACCCGTGCAGTTCACCATTAATGAAGAGCTTGCATTAAGGCGTCCTCAACAAGGAAATATAACATTTTAAAATAAAATACAGTTTAAAGAAATTTAAAAAAAACAATTAAATCATTACAATAACAATAACTGAGAAACCAAAAGAACAGCAAGCGCAAAAAAAAAAAGAGAGAAAAGAAAGAAAAGCAAGAAAATAAATAAAAAATAAATAAATAAATCCATAACATAAACATTCACAAAAACTCTTATATAACAGAGATTACCTATAAAATATTTTGGAAATACATTAGATGCTTTAAGTTTTCAAAATGACAAACGATGTGCATTGGTGACGTTCGGTGGTAAATGCGTTAAGGGCAAAAAAGTCAAAGGAACATCTACTAGATTTAAATTTATGTCTTGGAACCTTCAAGTCAGCGCGTGCCGCTGCTTTAGTTGTCATCGAACGAATAGGAAATCCGGAAAGTCTATTGGTAAGATATTCAGGAGCATTACCCGATTGAGTTTTAAAGGAAATACAATATTGCTGGTAACGGACCCGTTCTTCAACATTCATAAGATGGAGAGAGTTATGGAGAACAGTAGTTGGGGTAGAGGGATACATTTTTAAGATTATACGTAGTGCGAGATTCTGCATTTTTTTTAAATTTTATCAATATTTTTCCTACTTCTAGTTTATTAGGATGAGTTCAACACCTGTCTCTTATACACATCTAGATGTGTATAAGAGACAGGTTAGTATAATTATATTTCATGGTCAGTGCAAGTTTTGAGCAAAGCTTACTGACATGATTCTGCCAGGTAAGCTGATTGTCAATATATACTATTAAGTGTTTATGAGTTCCAACTTATTTGATGAGTGTGTTAGAAACTTTAAAGTTAATGTGATTATTATTTGAAAGCCGATGAGGTGTGTCAACGTGCATTACCTCAGTTTTGTCTATATTCAAATGAAGTTTGAGTTAAACCAGTTGTTAACAGCTTGCATATCATTTGTTAATTTTGTGCTAATTTCATTAGTGTTAGTTCCTTTCACGTAAATAATAGTGTCATCTGGTCTGCAAAAAGTAAATATTATTTGACAGGTGATCATATAATTGGACAAGGACAGCTTGGGAGAACAGAGATTGGTCTAAAGTTGTTAAGTTGTTCCTTAGATGCACTTCTGTGGATGGACAGAACCTTAGCAATCTTTCATTGCGCGGGGAAACAGCCAAACTTTAAGGAAAGATTGAAAATATGGGTTAAATAAAGTGAAATAACTGGTGCAGAAATTTTTAAGAGCTTAAAGAGGCAGGCAATTTATACCAGTAGACGTTATTCCTTTCAAGCATCAGTTCAAGTATGTTATTACGGCCGTCAAGCCATGGAGAGAATTTTTAAAATCATACTGCTATTGTTATTTACGAAAGCCTATTCGTGCCACTTAAGTATATAAAATCATCAAAATGTTAGTAGCTCGTTATTTCGGATTACTAATCGGAAATTTCGAATTAGTAATTCGTTACTTCGAATTAGTAATCTGTTATTTCGGATTACTAATCCGAAATTTCGAATTAAGTAATTTGTTATTTCGAATTAGTAATTCGTTATTTCGGATTACTAATCCGAAATTTCGAATTAGTAATTCGTTATTTCGAATTAGTAATTCGTTGTTTCGAATTAGTAATTCGTTATTTCGGATTACTAATCCGAAATTTCGAATTAGTAATTCGTTATTTCGAGTTAGTAATCCGAAATTTCGAATTAGTAATTCGTTATTTCGAGTTATTAATTCGTTATTTCGGATTACTAATTCGTTATTTCGAGTTAGTAATTTATTATTTCGAATTACTAACTCGAAATAACGAATTAGTAATTCGCAATTTCGGATTAGTAATCCGAAATAACGAAATACTAATTCGAAATAACAAATTGCTAATTCGAAATTTCGGATTAGTAATCCGAAATAACGAATTACTAATTCGAAATAACGGATTAGTAATTCGAAATTTCGAATTACTTTAAATTGTGGATGACATCGATGACCCAGTGATCGGGGCATACCGGTAGGCCTAGATGAAGTTTGGACATCCACCCTTGTTTTCACGCATGACGTGGTGTTAAAATTTGGTGAGTTTTGTTGCTAAAAATGTGGAAATAATAATTAGACTATTTTATTACAATTTTCAGAAAGTAAAACTTTAAAAAGAAAATATATAGTAGGCATAGGTAGGTATGCATAGATATATAGTTTTCAAGTAGTTCCAGAGGCCCAGTGACACGCGTGCAGATAGCGTACAGTTCTACCAATAGATGAAGTTGGAACGCGGTAACGCCCTGCACTAAGTGTCACGCATGACGGTTACAACGGGATAAATTTCTACTTCAGTAAAAATATTACAGTAAATAGGTTTATTCCAATTTTCTTAAACTTTAAACCTTTAAATGTATAGATACAGTAGTACAACTTTTGTTTACAATTTATTAATGAACAACTACCTACAATTCACATTAAAGCTGTTAAAATAGCGTTATCTTGTTCATCATTCATTCTGTTTTTGTTATAGGAGTTTAGATGAAATTGGCAGTATTTGCAAGTCACTCAAAATGCCTTTTAATGAGTGCCAAAGTCTGGTTAAAGTCTATTTCAACCTTGGTTTAAATTATACAAAAATAATTGCGCTTCTACTTTCAAATGATGGGATTTCCATAAGCAAGAGGACTCTTCACAGAATGCTACAGAAACTTGACTTATATCAACGAAAAAATCATACAGACATACTTGAGATAGCTTTATTTATTGAGCAGCAACTCCAAACGTCATTGAACCCTCACGGTTATAGGTGGATGCATTTAAAATGTATTCAGAATGGTAATAATATCGACAAAGAAACTATACGCCTAGTTTTGAAACTTTTAGTTCCTCATGGGGAACTAAGATCAAGAAGACGGCTTCAAAGACGGACATATCGCGTGAGAGGACCTAATTATATATGGCACATTGACTCTTATGATAAAATTGAAACCGTATGGCATCTGTGGCAATGGATGTATTGATGGGTTTTCCAGGAACGTTATGTGGCTAGAGGCATACAAGACCAGTAGTGATCCCTGAGTAATTGCAGGGTATTACATGAACACTGTTAGAAACAAAGTTGGGTGTCCCTGGGTATTTAGATCGGACCATGGAACAGAAAATTCTGTAGTTGGGCAGCTGCAGCAGTTTCTGAGAAGAGCTAATCAAGACCCAGTTGCTAGTTTTGTCCAGGGCACGAGCCAGCACAACCAGCGCATAGAATGCTGGTGGAGTATGCTTCGAAGGCATTGTACTCAGTACTGGATGGAATTATTTTCTCAATTAAAAGAAGATGCACGGTTTGATGGAGGTCTTTTGGACAAGTCATTGGTTCAGTTTTGTTTTTTGAATCTAATTCAGGTATTCTTCATTTTCATTGTCATAATACATTACAAACTTTTTTAACAAAATGCCCTTTTAGAGTGTGGAAAAGTTATAACCGCACTCCTGCGAATAACTATTTGAGGGGCACTTATACAACTGGAAGCTTCCGGGGGTGCTTATGAAAACTACTTTAATTAAGGGAGTGCTAATGGAAGCTGATGCAAACTGAGACTAAACGAGAGAGGTAAAATTAAGCAACTTGGCATATAAGGCACTTCGGTGAATACTTGTTAAACGCGAATATTCAAATTAGGAGAGCAGCACTTAAGAGTGTCATTTATTATTCAAATGGGACAATTTTCACTATTCATTTGGACCAGTAAACCATCAAAACACTCATGCACATTAAAAAAAAGTCTAAATTTTCAGCGGAGGTAAAATTGTATTTTTTTTGTCATATTTTCTGTCGTCATATTCTACTACCTGTACAATTTCTATTTCATTTTATTTGTAAATACAATTTCCTAACATTATTTTTTTTCATTTATTTGTGGTTTATTAGGATGAGTTCAACACTGTGGTAAGAGCGTGGAATGCTCACTGTATAGCACCCTCGAGAAATAGAGACGGTCCATTTGGATAACATTATTTTTTTTCATTTATTTGTGGTTTATTAGGATGAGTTCAACACTGTGTTAAGAGAGTGGAATGCTCACTGCATAGCACCCTCGAGAAATAGAGACGGTCCATTTGGTCGTCCAGTGGTAATGTACACATCACCAGAGTTATACGGAGGACAACAATTTATTGTACCGTTACAAAGGGATGAGATAGAAATATGCGAAACTGAGTGCATTTTCAAGAGCCAGTACACATGTGACAAAGATGTGTTTAATCTTTGTTCGATATTAATGAGAGAAAGACAGCTGTCTCAACCAAATAATCCTGAAGAGAGTCTGTATTTGTATGTTTTACGAATTGCAATAACTGAATTACTTTGAGAATGAAGCTGGTATTTTTTCTCATAAACAGTGTGTACAGTAACAGGTACAACAAAAATTACTGCAACAAAAAAAGATTAAGTTTATACATAAAAAAATTAAAGAAAAACATAGGCCTATAATTATTTTTAGCTGTCTCGATTTTAATGAAAATATTTTTTATTAATAATGCAAAAACATACATTATACAGTACACTATAATTTATGATAAACTATACTTTTTTTCCAGTATAGCTCAGCAAGACATAATCACCATACTAATAGCTATTTATTGAGATCCTGTGTAAATACTGTTTTTCTTGCTTTTCTCACTGTAGTAAATAATGAATAGATTATTAAATGCATGCCAATATTAAATGGACAATTATGTTAGTTCTTTTTATTTGTAACAACGCTATTATGACAGCATGATTCATTTGTTCCTTTCAAAATTACTGAAACCGAGTTAACTACAAATGAACACAATAAATTTGAACATTGATAGCTGAATCTTTAAATCCTTTAAAAATAGCATATTCAGAATATAAAAATTATAAAATTAAGCTTTTAATACATCATAAATTTATGAGCAAATAACTATAAAGAGAGTACAGGAGAACCCATATTAAGGGGGATACACTGGAAAACTGAAATTGTTCCCGTAATTGGATTTTCTTCTACAAAAAACACTATACAACAAATTATTTATTTTAGTTTCATTGCAAAATAGTAATGATCATTAGAATTATAACAAATAATAATATTTAAGATGATTATCCTGGTAGTTCGATTATTCATACTTAACTGCCTTATCTTTTGTTATACTATCCTGTTATTTTGTAATTATTACGCTATTTTTTAATTGTTACCTGCTCCCCACCAATCCTTCATATTATCAAATTCCTTTTTTTCTTTTTATATAATCCTGTCCCCTATAGAGTATACTGTATCATTGTGTTGCAACATTTAAATAAATATATCATTTTGAAGCAGATTCAAGAACTTTGTGATTTTTTAATCTTTTTTAGACAGTATATGTAAATTAGAGTGACCTCAGCTTAAACTGTTAACATAACTTTATTAACAGTCATAACTATTGGCACTACATGTAAATTTAATGCAGCATATCATTTTATTTCTGTTTAACTTAAACATCAACTTATAAAATAATGCAATTTACACATAGTGTATTGTTATGTGAAGTGGTATATTGTACAAAATGACTATTAAGTACAGTGTAAACTGTATGAATTATAGGCTACTAATACAAGTTGGCCTACATGTTGTTGTTATATAATCAGAAATGGTTTATTTACAATACCTAATCAGGATAAATATCTTAAAATGTTTGCACACATGACAAATATAAATTACTCCTTCATTCGTAATTACAGATTTCCAATTTTCAACTATCATATAATTTTACTTTCTAATTGTACATACACATGTATAGTAATAAGCAATAAATTTAAAAAAAATTCAAAAAGTGAAAATTAAAATGGACATAATTTAACCTAATTATAAATTTCAGTATAACAAAACTTTTTCTCAAGTTGAAATACTAACATACTTATATGGACTAACAAAATTACATTTTTTTAATTAGAATGGTTTATTTACAATATCTAATCAGGATAAAAAATCTTAAAATGCTTGTACACATGATTAATACAAATTATTCCTTCATTCAACAAATTCCATCGTTTATATAATGTTAGTATTAGTAAACAAAACTTTTTCTCAATATCATCTATGGTATATTGAAATACTGTACTAACATACTTACAATTTGAGTTCATAATTAAGTTTCACTGAGTGAAATCATCTTACAGTGATTAACAATACTGTCATTGCTTTTGATTTCATTTTTTTGAATTCCAATCAAAACTAACATCTGGTCAACACCAACAATAACAACAATTTGTGTTCATAATTTAAAATTGCACTGAGTGATATCATCTTACAGTGATTAACAATAATGTAATTGCTTTCGATTTCAACTTTTTGAACTCCAATCAAAACTGTAACACCTGGTCAACACCAAAATAACAACATGATAACTCTAACTCCTTGTTTACTTAAACATTACCAAACCCGTGGCAATCTGTCAGTGATTCTGTCATGAGGCTTTTGAAATAGGATGGTTCATCAATACCCCTGGGAAGGTTCTATGTTAGTGCACAGGTAGATGACCATGGTCGACGCATGGTAATTCCCTCGGAACTGTAAAACAAAATTCTTATTGGCTGATCAAAATCTAGTGGTGGAATGTACTCACACCCAGTAATAAAGATAAGTATGTCTTTAATTAACAATCCACCAGCTTCATTTTCTTCCAAATCTTGCAAAAACAACTCAAAACTGTAGATGGTACTGTCTTCCTTAGCTCTGTTGTTTGACCCTTCTTCTGCACAGTACTGGTAGATTGACTTGAACTCATCCACTGTTAGCTTCTTCACTTTACTATTTAAAAAGGAAGAAAAAACATATTCATTACTTCTGATCAGGTCACCAAATGTGCCGATTTCATTCATTCCCTCAAAAAACTGGTTAATTTCTGCATAGACACCATAAAGAAAGTGTTGCTTTAGAAGGGAGACTACAATATTATATTTTCCAGATATATTTGATGTATATATTCTGGAATAGCCATACTGTGCAATGGTATCTGCATGATGTTCGATGAAGTTTTGAAATTCAGTCTCTTGGATATAGCTTTCAAGAGCCTTGAGTAGAGATTTTAGGTCATTGTAATCAACAGTTTCAATTGCAGCAGCATTATTGACATCACTCCCTTTCATGAATCGGTCACCTTCTTCTGACAAGCACCGTGGACCATCACCTCCTTGCAAAATACTCCATTCCACAAGTTTTCCGGATATTTTATATCGATTATCATTTAGTAAGCCAGTGTCACGTGAGAACCATGATCCTCTAAATACAGCGTATTCTCTGATGGCCTGCATAAGTAGACGAAAGAATTCTCTTTTTGGTCCACCATTGTCAACTAAAGCCTCACCACTAAAAGTAACAACAGGTTTAAAAAACGAAAAGTTCTTTCGTTGAATGGCACGCATTTTTGAATTGTAAACTGACTTTCTATTGATTAATATTTGGCATGTTTCAGAAGAGCTTAGATTTTCAGCTTGAAACGTTTCTATAACAAATTTGTGTAAATCTTCATCTACAATTATCTGGTCTAAATCATTAAGGCTAGCTGCTATAGCTGCCTGAAACTCAGGATCTTCTGCCAGATCACTTGATTCACTACTTTCATCACTGATTAATGAAATGTAATTACTGTATCCTTGCTGTTGATTTCTCGTGTCTGGTCTATTAAAGGTACACTTTCTGCAAAAGCAAAAAAATATTATATAAAAACATTGGAGTTATGCATTGAAAATAATTTCCATGAAACTTAGCAGACAAATATCATAATTAAATACTTTTTATGGGCTTAAACTAACATAATTCAAGGAGGTGGGAAATTGTTTATATTTAGATTATTAATGCTACTGGTATATTTATAGCTTTCTGATGCATAGTCAAAATAAAATACCAGTAAATATATTTGAAATGAATACCTGCACACATACTATGCAAGACATTAACCGAATTATTAATTGTACGGAAGACTCAGACATACAAAAGTTATTAAAAATGTGTCCAATGCTGAATTAATTTAAATTAATATTATTGTATAGTAAGACTTCAGATTTATTATTGTAAAATACATTAGAACCACTGCTAAATACATCATTCTGAAAATAAAATATCATTTGGATGATATTTTGTCAAATACAATTCAACATTCTGAGTCAATGAAAGATGACTCTACATTTTATTATCCTCTACAAGTTTTCTGAATTACAATCACCTCATAATATTCTGCATCTTGAATGGTTTCATTTAATTGTTCCTCAGTTGATGGAGAATTGGTGGGGCCAAACACTATGGTGGGGGTGTCAGGCTGCATGGTTGTTGGACATGAGCGTCTCCTTTCCTTTTTTTTTTTTTCCTTTTTTTTTTTTTTTTTTTTTTTTTTTTTTTTTTTTGGAAGGTCGTCTGACTCCAACTCGTCTGACTGCAGCTCATCATCAGTCACTTTCATCCGTTTGTGCTTTTTATCATCCAAATCTTTGATTAATGTGGTTTGCAAGTAAAACCTCAAAACTGCCATTTTTGTGTCATTATACAACAGACCAACATTAATATCATTTGACAATGGATGTTGGCGAAAGTCACATAATACAAACTGAAAATCGCAGAGTTTTCCTTTAGATGAAATACCATCTTTAAAAAACAAATCTTGCGCTATTTTTAGAAGCTCATCACATGTAGTAGATTTTGAAACTGAGAGTTGCCTTGTACCTCCTCCTTTGTGTTTTCCAACTTGTTTAAATGTGTTGGTACTGATATCATAATCCAGCCATCCCATATCGATTTTCTCTGCATTTTTTGGGGCATTTTTATTACCCAAAGGCGCGCTGACCTTTTGTCACCAGACGTTACTTCAAATGCATCTTCACCATCCTCATCACTGCTGGATTTTGACTGATTTCCTTTCTTGCTTAATTTATGCCTCAGCCTATGCAGGTGTGTCTTTTCTGAAAGAATTTGAGTTAGCATGACCTTTCTTTAGTTCTTTGTCACAAAAGGAACGCAATGCAATTCGGTCGCCAAGTGGAGGTACAAACTGTTTTAGTGAACGGTCATCCATCATTGTAATTACAACTGAATCAATCTCAAAAAGTGATGAAATTTCTACCAATAAAATTGAGTAAACAGCATTAAACATCTCCATAAACCCAAAAAATAAATACAGTTTGAAAACTACTATTCCAACTAAGGAACATCAAGCATTATCAGAAAACAAGGAAAAAAAACATTTGTAGGACTTCACAATACATTACCTTTTAAGTGAATGATTTTTGCTCATATTGTAATTTGAATATAGTTGTTACTGTACTGTTTTGATAATATACTGTATTTCAAATTGTATTTTAGTGATAGTCAGGCTAGTTGTTTGAAATTTTTCAATGGTGCAGATTTTAATATTCTATGTAAAATAATTTCAAGACCAATATTAACCAACAGTGAGTGTGCCCATCTTAATACTGAATGGTAAATTTATTTTAAATTCTAGTTAATGTAGCCTAAATTGTACAGTACCAATCACACAAGTCATATGAATGCGGGTATGAATGCCTGGATAAATTGTTGAAAGAAGGATCTTTTGGAAACTGGAAATATCATAAATATAGCAACAAAATGTCTAAAGAGCAT